CCCACACCTAACCCCACACCTAACCCCCACATTAACCCTAATACTAACGCAAACTCTTATTTCAATTTTGGAATCATCTCGTAAACTACCTCTCGTCCATCCCTTTTAGACATTACCATGAAAAAAGTGAAGGCAAGATGGCGGAATTGACGTGCAATAGCTATGAAGGTCGTAATTCTAGTAGTTTCTAATGGACCGTATCGCTAAACTAGTTCATAACACCATAGTGTTTCGCCTTGCCAGCTTCGTGTTAACCGCGCAGACAAACAATAGAAAGGGACTGGAACTGAAGTCCAATAGCTCTTCAGAGTTTTCGCCATCTTGGCGCCACTTTTTGGCACGAGTTCTCGCTCCAGATATATATATGGAGCTCACTGGCTATGGTCAAGCTTGACTATGTGTGCGATGCAAAATCCTCCCAACGCCTTATTTAATGTTGGATACTCCTAAACAACCCCTCCCCCTCAAACCCTCAACAATATCATGGCATCGGGGGAGAGGTATATATACAAATAATTGAACAGCTTTATTAGAAACGGATTACTTTGCAATGCACTCACAAATCAGTTCCCAAACGGGAAAGTAGCGAACGGGTCGTAAGAACCCATGCGAGGCCAACTCCCAATTAAATTACACATTTACAAATTTATATATAGATAACCTAAAATCCTTGAAGGTGCGTTTACACGCTGCGAGCAATAAATTAAAAAAAGGTAAAATTAGGTTGTTACAATCATTGCAACTATTTTGTTTCCCATTGTAGTTGTCCAATTGTCAACGTCTGTGTGTCTGTCCATTCGTTTTAATCAAAGTCAGTATTGACAACATTCATTAACAACAAGATACAGGTATAGTAGACAAAACTTTTATTACCAGTATTTTATCAATGCAGTGCTTTATTTATTTTTTTTTAAAAAATCATTTACATAGTTGTTTAATCAAACTCGTGTTTAGTATTAATTTATTTAATTGATTACAAATGTCCTTGTGAAAACTTTTAATTACGTATATTAACAAGTTAAAAATTAATTTAATTTTATTAAAAATGATCTTATTGTTTATTTTTAGTTCGGTGAACTTATTATACATTACACTTTTATATTAAGACAGAATTAACTGAATCTAGTCAAGACAGCCCTAGCTCTCTCTCAGCCAGAGCAATCTTGACTATATATTCAGTTGTATACAGCTGTTTGTTTAGCGAAAACAAGCCATTTACTTACAGTTGGACTGCTTCTTAAATGATTATACAGGTTGCAAGCTAATTTCCCCCCACCGAGTACTAATTAATAATGTCAGAAAAATCGTATGTTTTGAAATTTTGTGTGGGTTAACCCCATAAATGCTGAATATGCATTCTTTGTCAGTGCATGTACGCTATATCTGGCTACTGAATCAATATAGTCTGTGTTCTGAAGCTCTACCATGCATCCCCAGACTGTCTCATATTTTAATATAATCAACATCACATATAGTACATTATATTAAGTCTGTATTGGGGTGGTAGGGCTAACAGTTGCAGTTCGTCTTTTCTGAGGTTCAGTTTTGACGATATCATCACTACTGCTGTATTCTTCCACTTCAACATCTGTGGCAGTTGTACTTCTTGCACTATTAGCACTCCTCCAACTTCGTCTACTTTTATGTAATATCAACTCAACTTCGCCAGTTGTTGGTTTGTATGATTCCTATACAATGTAAGGTTTTAGGCGATATTCATAAGGAGCTGGGCTGGCCTGGTTAACGGGGATGATTCGTTTAATAAAGTTCTTATCACGGCTTTAATAAACATCCAAAATGACATTTCATTTTTTTTAAGTTAAGTTGAATTAGCTTATAGTTTGATTCCAGTAACAGTATAAAGTTCATTCGAACGATCTTCTTTTTTTTTTCGTGACACGTTTCACGCCGGCTAGCCGGGCTGGCCTGGCTCATAAGAACAGCCCCTTTCGCAGCGTATTTCACGCTTCAAACATAAAAATAAGATGAAGTGGCAATGCGTGGAACAAGAAGTCTCTTATTGGCAGCTGCAGAGTTTACTGGTTAGATCAAGTACGGAATAGTAGAGGTCTTCAACGTGCATGGCATGTTGTATTAAGTGATGGAGCCTCTCTTGTTCTCTTTAGTTGTGACCAACCGCTGTTGAGCCTAACCTGGACGCAACTTTTTGTGTCCTTTGTACAACAATGGTAAACCAGAGGTAAACTCCGGCTATTGAGCAACAAACCACGTGTTGGGTTACATTATATAAATTACGTATTAATTATCTTGAAGTGACATTTATCTTATCAGTGGTAAAGATCTAATATAATCGTTGTTAAAGTATTAGGGGAGGGGGGTGGTCCGTAATTTGAAAACAACTATTTTTGTTACACCTGCAAGAATTTAGAATTTCTGGCTTTATTTAACGACATCATATATTGTTACATTTTAAAGTTAATTTATACCAATTAGAGGGACCTGCATGTAATTACACCTACAACAATAAATGGGCGCGAGCCCATGCGGGAAGCAAGTACTGCATGTACTGTAAGGCTTAATCATTCTCGGAATTGTACTACTATCGAAACAAAAATTCTTCCTCGAATTTTTTAAATGAATTTGACGTGTCCTGGCTTAGTTTAATGGATTTGCAACATCATTACAAGACATATACATGCACTAGAATACAACACATTACAATACACCCAATCACTGGTCCTAACTGACACCCAATCCCTTATTTTCCACATATGGTGAAACGTTTTAAGCATGAAGTCATACAAATCACGTCGGTATCAGGTTAGTGTGTTAGTCTGTGTGTTAGTAATCACCTTGATATTATAACAATCTCCAACAGTCCTAAAAATATTAGTAAGTGCATGGTGCGCAAAGCGTTTCAAGCATTTGCGGTTTGTGTGAGTCATCAAGAAAAAATCAAAAATCGATCAAGTTTGGGATTATCACTCACGATTGATGGTTCATTGCAGCATTAACTATGATTCTCGCATTGTCTAAAGATCATCTGCAAATTTGCAGCCGGGCACATTTCTCTTCCTCTGCAGTAATGTTACCTGCCAGGTGTATGCATGACAAATTAATGAAGACACATAGAGGGCTTACCTGAGCTAACTGCGTTTTAGTTCGATAGAAATATCTTGCAATTGTCATTAATGCCATGTCCGGCATGAGCGCAACCGCTGAGAGAACGATAAAACCAAACCATACTGAAGGCTCATCAAGCAATTGTAAAAATGTCCAATATAAATCATAACTAGCTTGACCAAACTGAAATGCGTCCCTAAAAATACATCAAACGAGCACATTATTACAGCATTCTCCTCTCTTGCCAAAACGTTCACCATCTACATCTTATTTTATCAATGAAGAGATGATTTGGCATTATAATTACAATACAAGTTACATAATTTATTATCCATGTTATTGGTTAGGGTTATTCAGAATTATGGCCCTTCATCGTCACGTGTGCATTGTATTTTTGTCCAACTAACCAATAGGATGTTTTAAGAAAGTTACCTATCCGTGACTCGAACAGTAGGGTAAATTGGAAACTGCTACTGGTGGATTTGGCAAAAATACAATACGCACGTGACGGTGAAGGATCATATTTTTGCATCAACGTTGACTAACATAGATTTTGAGTTATATTGTTATTCTAATGAATTTCCATACCATTTCATCTATTAACTATAATTTTATCAATCATTCCAAGGGCATTCAATTTAACAATGGATGCGAAGCTTTTAGCTGTTATTCGCGACGTTTCAAAGTGGATAATATATATATAGTTCTTCATTAAAGAAAATCGAAGCATCACATGCAATACAGTTGCCAATCAGTGAACTCCATGTCTTTTATCTGGAATAACATGCGGGAGAAACGTGAAGCCAATGCCAACGCCACTTGACATGATTCGTGATAGACTGCGCGGTGATGGCGTATAAGGGGACTGAAACTGACGTACTATATGGCGTGGCAATTGACCGCGCGCGGTGATGGCGTACAAGGAGTCTGAAACTGACGTACTATATGGCGTGGAAATGGTGTGGAGGGCTGACGCCACTGCTCACGCGTTGCTTACGCGAAGCTTCACTTTTTAACTGCCAAATGACTGAATGTTATCGTTCCAGGTAAATAGATTGAGTTCACTGTTGCCAATTAGCTAAGTTTTAGAACATGCAATACTGCTATTAACAACTATTTGACAACTATACATGACTTGGAGAGTAATGAATGTCAACATTTATCTTACCACGAATCGCAAGATGCAATAATAGCGAAGAGAATGTATGCAATTATCGATCCCCAAATCACGATGTGACTGAGGATTGTCCAGTAGAATGAAAATAAGCCAAGCTGAAATAAAAACACAAAAAGATCAGAACTTTAAATTTGAAGTTAGTGAACAGTGTTCTCATTATACCTGGACCATCATTCTCTAACTTGACGCCATTTCTAGAGGTCACTAATATCATAATGGATTTCCAGGCATTGCGAAATAAACAGAATTAGACTTCATTCTGTTCGCTCCCAATTGGGGCTGTTCAGTGACCGATTACATCAAGTATTATTTATCTTTACAACAATTGTGATATTACTTTCCTAACTGTGTTTATCCTAACCCACCCTGTCAACTTTCCCTGTGGGTGGAAACCAGAGCACCCGGAGAAAACCCACGACTTTCGGCAGAGTGTTGACTGACTCTTTTCACATGAGTCCGTAGCAAGAATCAGATCTCAGAGGTGAAAGACGCTTGTTCTGATGATTACGTCACAGAAGCCCCAGGTAATGCTACACAGAAATCTCAACACTGTGTCAACGTAGGTTGTGGTGCAAATATAACTGTCGAAGATATTCTTGCAGAGCAAAAGATGAAAGTTGGAATAGAAATCTTTACTTTAAGTAGGAAGGGGACTATACTTAGAATGGAAAATTACCTTCAACGACAAAAGTACACGACGTATAGCTGCATCAGCTTTCTATAACGTTTTGTAATAAAGAACACATGGGCGGAAAAAATAAATTCAAGGAAACACGTGACTAACCTTAAGATTACAAACAATAACAACGATAGTATAAGCAAATTGACCAAACGACCAGTTTCCAAATGCCTGGAAAAAGTAAACAAAAATACAATAGTTAGGGGAAAAAACCCACCATAAATTAGATCACTTAGTAAAGACATTACCTTATCACCAAGTATTCCTTCATCAAAAAATAATAATGATCCAAAATATATAACCAAACCATGCCACACCGCTAAAAAATAATACAAGGATTTTATGCCATGCTATTTCGAATAGGATTATTTCACTTTGTGGAAATATATCTTATTCGTCATATAGTTTTCGATCAATGTCGCTATCTCATGAAGTTGTTTTGCACCAATCAATAATTTCCCCCAGTCAATGGTTTGCCCCATGGAAAGGGGGGGGGCATACCCACAGAATTTGACATTTTGTAATGAAATTTTTGCAATGAGTTGTCCAACAAGTAGGCTGACTCGTATACGCCAATGATTATTGCCGCATGTACTTGCGCAAACTCAATATGCAATGTGTACTTATATAAGTCTTTAAAATAAAGTACATAAAGTGTACGTTTCTGAAGGGTATATTCAAACTACATGTTAGAACAAGGAGCGCAATTGCACTTACGCATATACCGACTAAATTACAGTACAGAATACCTTGGGCTTGGAAAGGTCATGT